GGGGTCTCTCGCCACTTTAATCGACTCAGAAGCGTTAATGGGAACGGGACCTGTTTACTTGCAGAGTGAAGAAGAAGAGAAGAATTATTAAGTATATTGTAAAATAAGCAAAAAATAGAACTTATTTTTATTATGGAAAGTGACTATTTTCATCTTTTATTATATAAAGTATCGCACCACTTTGGGTATATGTATCATATAGTGAGCTATTTTTACCATGAAACTTTTTTAACAGTTGTAAGAAAAAAAATTTCAAAAGCTAAAAGGTTAAAAAAAAAATTATATATATAAAGAAAACATAGCCTAACAGGAGAAATGTGGGGTGACTTTATGTGTATGCACAATGAACAGACGTAAAGGTGTTCCAAGGACCCACTGCCAGACTGATTTGGGCTGAAGAAAGCTCCGAGGCCCTGGCTGGGAGTTCCAGGTGAGCAGATCCCCGTGACTGACTGCATCCAGGCACCCGAAGAGCCTCCTCAGCCCCTTCTCTTCCCAACACTGCCAACACTGCTCCTGTACAGTGGCCCCGCTTGCTGCCCATGAACTGATTCCCTGGAGCACACAGGCACTGCCATAGCTTGAGGCTAATTACATTATTTGACTATTGTAATACTATAATAATACATTTTTTGCTGTGTATGTTGTATTTATCTGTGTTCATGTTATATTCTGCGGCAACTGTATCTATAGAGCACAGGCAGCTTTATCCAAAAGAAGGGTGCAAAGGGAAAGGAAGTGGAGAAATTTATGTTGCTTTGGGTAATTTGGGGGCAAAAATGTGAAATAAGTGCTAAGTGATGCCTAATAAATGACATAGTACTTTTATGTAAACTCCTCAGCTATGTTATTTCCCAAGTTTGTGCCTTCTTGCTCCCAGTCTTGAGCCCTTTTTTGTATATGAAATGTAAGGAATGCACTGCTACATAGTTTATCACACCTTGACACTTTAACTTGCAAAGGTTGTAAAGAGCATGAAAATACCGCAGGTGCCAGAAGGCACCTGCAACCTATCAGCTTTTACTGCCACTGTCACTCGAGCCAGGGTGTGAGCTGGCCGTGGCTGCTGCTCGGCGTCTCGCTGGCTCTGAGCAGCTGCCTGCCTCCCCACGGCTCTCCAGGCGAGCAGAAGTTGCACTAAATCCATGTGAAGGTGTTCAGCTGGCACCTGCCCTGCAGGGAGAGGTGTCACAGGTCTGCCTGTGCAGCCTGAGCTGCTCACCAAAGCTCCTCCACCTGCCCTCGTGCCTCCCGCTCACCTGAGCTGGGTTCAGAGCAACTGCTGAGCAGGAATTGGAAATCAATGCAGGGATGAATTCTCACTGTGGATGTGAGGGGAAAATGGACTCTGGGAGTGAGTTTGATTTTTGAAGGGTTTTTGTCAAGGCTGCCTTTCAGGGTCAGGACATACGTGCAAAGAGCACCATGGATACCTTGAATTTTCTCTTACTGTAAGTTTCAAACATCCCCATCAACAACTGCTCTATTACCTATATGATTTCTTTCTTTCTCTAATGGAGTAAATATTATGATCCTTTCTTCAAGTTCTCTAAGGAAGGTAGTCAGAGATGCTTCCTAGCAGCCATAAAGTCTTTCTGGAAAGTTACTGATCTCACCAAAAGGCTTTCAGATCAGGAGATTCGGCAAAGGATGAGTAGGAAAGCTGAATGAAGAAAACGGGACAGCTTTGATTTGGGCTTTGGAAGGATGACTAGAATGCAACCCTGCCATGACAAGTAGAAATGTTTGTTTCACTAAAGCAGAGAGACCATCTAGCTGTAATACAGCCAGAAAGCTGTAACATGTTTGTTGTCCTTCTGCAGTGTCAGTCTCTCCTTAACTGCAGCAGTTCATTCATATCTCTCTGTTATGACCAGAACAATGTGAGCAGAAGGGACATAACCAATTTAACAGGCATCTCAAAAAAATCATCACAATAAATATCAGTACATGGAGCTAACAATCAGTGACACATAAAACAATCACTACTTGATGTGCCAGACTCTGATTGATACAGCTCAAAACCCAGGGAAAAACTAATTCTGGTTGCAAGTACTGTGGACTGCTTTTTATTTTTAACATAACATCAGCAGCTCATAGCAGCTGGGGTTTGTGATGTACGACAAAAATCACCTAAACCACAACCCACATGTTTTAAAAATTCATGTGAGTGTCTGCAAACACTTGTACAAATACGTGCTGGGCACACTACTACCATTAACGATTCATTCCTGCTTAAAACCATTTGAATTTCTGCAGAAGCAGCTGCTGGGGTGTTGGGCAGAAGAAGCCCAGCCTGGCAGTGGCTCAGATTTGTTGCCACTCTGGACTGCCCATGCAGGAACACAGCCCCTCTTGAACCTGTCCAAAGCTGTGCTCACTCTGTCACCTGAGCAGCAGCACGGTGACAAACAGGGTGACATTCACGGCTGGCCTCACACCTGCTCTGAAAGCAAAGGCAAAAGCCACCAACATCTTGTTAACACATCACTCTGGGATTTACTCAAGCCAAGCCTTGCAGCAAAGGGACCAGCAGCAACTCAGCAAGGCCAGCCCTGTTCCTGGCCCTTTTCTGTCCTGGCACTTCAGTGTTAAGTGTCAGGATAAAGAACTAAGAAAATATCTATTTTGTAACCAAATGATGCAATTTTTGTATGCTTTTAGGCAGCACTTGCCACTGGAGAGAGATGCTTTATGTCCATGATTCTCTGACTTGCTATAGAATTATTTTAAAATAAAAAAGCATTCAGATGTGCCAAAAATGTGTGGTTAACTGAAGTGTAATTAGCTCTGAAAGTTCCTTTGTAACCTGCCTAATGTTACAATCGATTTCAAGAACTGTGGGTACAATGCAGTAGTTTTTACCTCCAGAAAATTTTAATATAAAGTGAAGAAAGATGCTTACCCTTTAAAAATGGCAATGCAGACTCGTGTGAACTGATGTATTTTATTATTAGATTCTCATTGTGATGTAAGTTTAAATAAATTGTTGGGTTATGGAAGATTGTAACACCTTGTGGTGCAGATTATTTCTCTGTGTATGTGAGGTATTGTGACCAACCTTCAGTGTCCACAGGAAATGATGGGGGAACTACAGACATTCCTCTTGGACAAAGTCAAAGAACAGCTGTAGTTAAAGGTGGTATTTACACTAGTTACCAATTTTAATGGCATCACAGCCTAGTATTTTAAGAGTCTTACATGCACAGGCAAATTAAGCCACGTAGTTTTTGTTCCTGGGCATTTTCTTTAATTAAAATCTGTATTTGCTACATTTTTAACTGTTTGATAAAGACCTGCAGCAAAACCACACTCATTAATTACTGTTAGAATAAATGAAGAAATGCTGAGAATGGAGCTGGAGGAGGTAGGGCTGAGGAAATGGAAGTCACAGCCAGCTGTGGATGGAAGGGATCTTGTGATGTCCTGACACACCTGCACTCCAAATCTGCTGCCACACTGCTGTAGATGATTATTTAATATTAGTGACCCCAGCAGCAACAGATTTCTGCTTTTCACTGCATTCCAGCCTTAGCATAGAATAAAATAAAGCTCCCAGCTAGTCCTCTGCCCTCCCTCACCCATGCCCCTGTGCAACACTCACATATTGCTAATTATGCTTCAAACTATGGCTCCTAAGAGTTGCCTTTGCAGTTCCATGTAAAACTGGTGGCAGCAGTTAGCCAATAAAAACACTCAACCTTAATGAGCATCATTAAATCTGAACTATGAAGGTTAATTACATAATTGTAGCAGATGGCAGCATTTTCACCTAAAGCAAACCCAGCTGAGCCCACTAAAAAAGCTAGCAGGGAAGTGTTCAGAAATGGCTGGGTAGTGGATGATCTGCTCAACAGTTTGTTTGCATTGCTCATGGCTGTGCAGCTTGGGGTTGCTGAGCTCGAGGAACTGCAGCCTGAGGATGCAAAGCTCCTGTTTGTGATTCTGCTTGCACTGCCCAGGTATTGTTTACCAGATGTGGTACGAGGCAAACAGTGCTGGAAACTGTCTGTCCCATCTTCCTTTATCTTTGTGCCCTCCAGTTGGCAGGGAATGGTTGGATGGACGGGGTTGACTGCGGGGTTTGGGTTGTTCGCTGGGGTCCTGTCCCTTCTGGTCTCTGTGACCTCTTTTAGGAGTCAGCTCCCAGTTTCTGCTCCCGCTCAGTGAAGGCAGCCCCGCGGTTCAGCGGGCTGGACAGGCGGAGTTGGCTCAGCTCTGCCGAGCCCCGGGTACTTCTGATGCCTTGGTTTAAGACGTCAAACAGGGTGCCACTCCGGTATCATTCTGTGTGCGTGCTGAGGATGTTTTCTGATGTTCTCCAGGTGTTATCCAGATGTTTTTCAGAACGGGCCCCGCAGCTTTGGAGGACAGCGGAGGTGAGCGGGGTCCGCCAGCAGGTGGCGCCACAGGGCGGCCCGTTCCGCTCCGGGGGGACGGGAATGGGATGGAACGGAATGGGACGGAATATTTCAGTGAAAAGGGATCTATAAGAGCCATCTGAGCAACTCAGGGCTGATGGAGTCACAGCCCATTGTTGAAGGCACTGTCCAAATGCCTCAAGCACTGCCAGGTCTGGGGTATGACTGCCTCTCCAGGAAGCCTGTTCTAGGCTTTCCACAAAAGATGCTCCCTGATGTTCTGTATAAACCTCCCCGGTGCAGCACTGAATCTTTCCCATGCCTGCTGTCTGGATCCTGGGGAGAAAAGCTCAGCACTTCCCTCTCCATGTCTCCTCCTCACAGGAAGTGCAGAGTGCAGTGAGGTCACCCCTCAGTCTCCCTCCCTCCAAACTGAACAAGCCCAGAGTTCTCAGCTGCTCATCACAGGAGTACATGTATATGTGATACACAGATTTTCTAGAAAGATTTAAATAATAACTTCTCAGGTTTTATTGATCCTGAGCCATCAACCTCTTAGCATTGTTCAGCTGTGATGACAGGCGTCCCTGCTGTCCCCTCGCCGTGGCATGGATCCCTGAGGCTACACCCCAGGAAACTGTATGAACTGGCAGCAGGACAGCCCCAGGAGAGCATGTGAGACCTGGGGGTCTCCAACACTTCTTCAGCACCATCCGTGGCAGCAGGACAAGGGTTCCATGTGCTGGCATATGGAACAGCCTGTGCCCACAGGTCTGGCATCAGTGTCACATTGCTGCTGTTGATGTTGTTTATTTCCATGCTACCACGTTATGGAATAACAACTGATTTTGCTGTTTCTACCCGATTTCTGCTGCTGTTTGCTCACACACACCGAGATAAAAGCAGTGTGCCTGCAGAGTTCATTACCCAGCAGGGTGTCCAAGCTGGCACAGCCTGTGACACCTCTGGTCTGTGAAGAAAGCACAGCTGCTCCTCCAAGCACCCTCAACCCCAAGAGCCCTGCAGGCAGCAAGAAGCTCCTCGGGCATGGAACAGAGCATGAGGCAGAAGAAGCAGCAGTAGCTGCCAGTGTGAGGAGTTTCACTTACCCGTGGTGCAGGGGGCACCCTGCAGTCTCAGACAGAGCTTTGTATCTTGTTCATGTGTGATCTCTTGACCTTCTCCTTTCCCAGGGCTCCTGAGCTTTCAAAGTACAGTGATGCTCAAGGTAGTCTGGGGATGACAGTGCCTTCTCTGAATTGCCTATGAGGTTTGTCCCCATTGCACAAGGGATCACTCCTTTTCTGTAAAAATAACCCTTTACAAGGCTGTGTCTTATCTGGGGAGGAAAAGTGCACATCCTGCCTCTGAGGTGTGGGAGGGAGGAAAGCAGGTAAATGAGTGTTCAGGGGATAGCTCAAAACTGACAGGAATCAGGCTATTTTGAGTGGTCCAGCTAATCTTCCAGCAGCAGCATTTAAGGGAAGGAAAGGGGGATGTTCAGAGTGATGGTGCTCATCTTCCCAAGTCACTGTCACCTGTGATGGAGCCCCGGAGATGCTGAACACCCACCCACCCATGGGAAGCAGTGAATCCATTCCCCGCCTTGCTTTTCTTGCATGCACAGCTTTTACTTTCCCGATTAAACTCATTCCAAGAGCTCTCTCCCTTTTACCCTTCCAGTTCTCTTCCCAATCCTGCTGACAGGGCAGTGAGGGAGTGGCTGGGAGGGGTTTCCCTGCTGACTGGGGTTAAACCTCGACAAGCAAAAGCCTCAGCCCTGCCTTTGACACTTCTTGCAGAGCAAGGTTACAGGAACCAAATACCACAAGGTAATTTAGGTGGGGACTTGGCAGCACACGAGATAAGATCAGGCTTTCACCTAGCATGTGATAAGAGCAGGCACAACAGGCAGTTCTTACAAAGCAGCTTACACTTCCTTAATTACACACCAGCATTTTTTGCATCTCTTAACCTGCCCTAGTTTCTCCTGCTAAAGCACTCATTGAACTGTTGGGGGGGGAGGGAGATTTAATATTTTTCTTATATTTTCTTAATATATTTACTATCTTGAGGTAAACACCAATGCAGAGGGGGGCATAACACACTACAACACACCAAAGTACAAGTCATAGGACCAAGACATGGACAAAGTTGGTCACACCAATAAATAAATGAAATTCTTATATAGCAATGAAACTATTTTCATTTCACCCCAGTAATAACTGATTTTTTAAAAAGCCCTTGCCTTCAGGTGTATCATTCATATAGAATCCTCTCATCTGGTTTCATTACCCAAAGATGCTGCATAGTATTTTAGGACAGTAGTTATATGAGTGTGTGTGTATATATATATATATATATATATATACACGTTTGTATTTATGTAGCTGATCATATATTCACCTTCAGATTTATTTATTTATTTATCTTAGAGGCTTTTCCAAGCAATGTGTTGACTGACATACCAATAAATCCAATCTGACATTGTTCATAACTAATAAATCAATTGCTCTGAAAATTAATGAACGTTCTGAGCCTCTCACAGACCTGCGTTAAATTTCCAGTTTGATCTAAACCTCAGCTTTGAGATGGACTAAAGATAGCTGAGCATTGATCTCAGTTTCCTTTTTTGGGGTTTTATTTCACATATTCTGTTTTAGCTGTAACATTCAGATAAAACACTGCAGCTTATTGTGAAGAAACTGAAACTTCAGATTTGCTGACCTTGTTTATAACTGAACAGCCCTTAGCTCATTCATTATCACAGAGACTTTATCTAGTCCAATTTTTCATGTGGAGAGATGAGTTAGGAGGGTTTGCTTGACACAATAGGTAAAGTGGGCAGAATGTATAAAAAATTCAGAACTTGCTCCTAAAACCCATGCACAAAATATGCATTGTTGGACTCCCTGACAGAGTCCAAGGTTGGGAAGGCAGTCAGTGAATCTGCATTGCTGGAAAGGGAGAGTTATTTCCTCAGTGAAAGCTGGGTCAGGAACTTTTCTGCCTGTTTCAAGACAGCAGGAATCAGACAGCTGTCAGGCTGTACACTATGGTTTTTCTTATTTTTCTGCATGTATATATTTATTACCAGCACTTCCCAGGGATGGTATTTCATTTCCTCTAGAGTTAGAAGGTGTGTAGGAAACAGTCAGAGTGTCAGTGCTGGGGAAAAAATGCCTCAGAATTAAGGTAATAAAAAATCTCCCTGCAGATCTGTTTTCCCCATCCCCACCAGAGATGTCTGCAAGACAGCGGATAGCTCATTTTACACCAAACATTCCACACTGCGCAGTCTGGTGACAGGCAGGAAATTAAAGACTCTTTTTCAATCACTCTGTATATTTATGAGCAAGTTAACTTCCAGGTAGCAGCTAAATTCTTGTATTCCCTAATATGTATGCAAATGCTTGTGTTTAATGTTTTAATAGTAAACTACATTGCAGTGAGAAACCACAAAACCACACCAAAATTTCCTGCCTTTACGAGTAACACACGAGAATTTCCACAATTGCACGTCACTTACAGAAAGAGAGAAGTTTTGCAGCCTTGCTAATATACTCTGAACTTCCTTTAAAGGATGAAAAAAGAACACTTAGAAGGTTTCAGAGTGAGTTTACCAAATACAGATATTTCAGAAAGGAAA